GGGCTGTCTGCATGGGTGTTTTTCCCCCATGTGTAACGTGTATACGAGCCAGTTCTCTTAGAAAGTCCTCCACGAAGGCATCCCTCTCTTTAGGCAGATAGCCCTTGAGGCTTTACCGTAATTAAATAACCTAACCTACTGATGTGCATTTAGAGCGCCGGTAAAGGTCGAATTGGCCGTATTCACTCTTCTTATTTGCATGTGTCTCGTTTTGCTGTTTTATAGATTTTTTTTGGGGGGGGGGACAGCCGACTCCAACACCCGGGTTCGAATCCCGGAGAAGGCAGGGTTGTAACTGTCCGTCCCTTCGTAGGCGACAACGGTGGCCGCTTATTAGGAGCGCTAATAAAATGGACCTTAGGAATGGCCATTGTTGAATAGTGCCCGCGATTAGAATAAAAAATAAACCACTATCTCGCCAAATTGGTTAAATATTGCCAAGCTAGCAATGGCTTCCTAATTTTGGTCACCATATTTTGCAAAAAAGTCGCCATGCTTGACCAGCCTCTTATTAGGTTCCTTCATAATAAAGTGACAAACACTTCTGGCCTTTGTTGTGGCCAAGCCGAAGACGGTTGAGGGCCGGCCATTTTGGGGGGAGGGAGGTTTTTTGGACAACAACTCTGACACTGTGAAAAACTCATGCAACTTCACAGGAAACAACTGGAGTAATAAAACGAATTTTTGAAATGCCATCGACTGTTTTTCTAATAGGGAATGTTGCTACAGTTCAAAATGATGAAATTTTAAAGTTTTATTTCAAAAATAAACGCATGATTTTTATTTACTCTTTGAATAGAATTAGGTTAGAAGATTTTTAGCATCTTTTGTTGCTAGAAATCGGCTCTTTATATCAATTTTTTAAATGCTATCAAATTTTACTGGATTATTACAGTTATCTAGTTGACATCTTTTTCAATTTTCTAATGAAACCAGCAAAACAGAAATAAATGCAGAAGAAATTTTCTGATAGGCGAATCTTAGTTGGGTTTTGTTGTTACCCTTAGTTTAGTATCTTTTAGAAAAGAAAATATATCATCTTCCCATCTTAAGCCTCTTTTATACGTAATCAAGAACTTTTCGCCTCAACAAAAGAGTGTGAAAGTGGCATCTAATATCTAATAGGTAAAACTCTAATAGAGGCTTGTAGATAACATTTTTTAGAATTTTTTCGATGTCAGTAGTAAACTGAAGAAATCCGCAGGGCCGTCGCCGGAATTCAAACCCCGGACCTCCCGAATACGCGTTGGTCGTGCTACCCAGTTACAGTACGCAGGCAGAAAAGCTGGAAAAAATACTTTATAAGCTTCAAATTGCATTTAATGTTTAATAAAATTTGTAGACCCGCTTATAAGGAAGTGTTTCCCCCCCCCCATCAAGACGCAGACGCATCGGGAAGATAAGCAGAAACTCATGCCAATTTGTAAATTATTTTGAACGGTGAAGTATAAGGAATTTCATCGTAAAACACTTTTCTGTTAGCTGCATTTAAGGTTCCTAATTTTAACTGCAAAATGGTAATTCTACAGCTAAGCAGTTGTTTAGGGGAAAATTTTAAAAATAAAAATTCATGCATTTATGGATAAAAAAAACATCTAAAGTCAAAAATACATTAGAATTGATATCAAATAAAATAGGAAATATACTTAATATATAAAAAAATTCTAAACTAAATTTTTATTCCAATTTTTGGAAAAATGCTATTGTTGCCAAATGGCTACATTATGCCAAAAACAATATAGGCAAATGTGTAATAACAATTTCAAACAATGTTCTTGTTCAAACAATTTTAAAATTTTGAATACATCAAAATAACAACAAACACAAATGATGTCTATACTCTACACATCAACACGCAATAATGTATAGTGGTTAGGGGAGCCTACTACGGTTCGAATCCCGGAGAAGATATGAATGTTTCTAGGTTAGGTTATTTAATTACAGCAAAGTCAAGGGCTATCTGCCTAAGAGGAGGGATGCATTCATGGAGGACTTTCTAAGGGAGACTGTCTCGTATACACGTTACACATGGGGAAAACCACGAACACCCATGCTGCCAGCTCGTTCACGGACGAATTCATGATTCGAACCTCGGACTAAACTAGCAGTGTTCAGCGTCTTTACCGCTCGGTCGCTGGTGAGTGAATGTTTCTAAATGTAGTGTCGGTGCGGCATGGCGGCACTCTAAATATGCGGTGAGCCGAAAGTCCTCTCGTGTGGATTGGTGGGAATGTCCAGCCTCTCTTCGGAGTACGCTCTGGCAACCATTGTTCCATGTAATATGGATTTCCAATAATGACCGTTACACCCTTAGTGGTGCCACCACACTGAAACTTTCTAAAACTATATAAGGTAAACAGTATGTATCCAATTCGTTACACTAAGTTTGGATTTGATTTACATGACTAAAAATTTCTGGGGTTTAAGATAATGCACCAGTTTTCCTTAGAAAGTCTCCTCACGGAGGTATTCCTTCTCTTTGCCATAATCCAATTCAGTTAATAATTTGATTAAACCCTTACATTCTACTAAGATTAGGTTGTTTAATTTTCGCCAAAAAAAACGTGTAATAACTAAAAAATATAAAGATACATTACTAGAAAGTAAATTACATTAATTACATTAATTTTATATTAAATGTTTTAATAAAAAAAGTGCAGTACTGTTCTTTACATAAAATACCTGTAACATACGAATCGACTTTAAATATTAAGATATATTTTTCTAAGACTGAGGCGGAGTTCTTCGAAAGAATAACTTGCTAAAAGGTTTCCTTAAGTTGACAGAGTTTTAGCAATCATATATAATATCCTCATTAGTTAATTAGCTTTACATGTTTATCAGTTAGCCCAAATTAATATTTCCTCTTTATTGACAATTGACCCGATACTTGCTTCCAAATGATTAGTCAGAAATTGCGAAATCTAATTGCGGCATTATATCCAGACTGTAACACTGTTAGTGTTGCACGTAACGCACACGGAGGGATGAGTGGGTATACACAAATTTTACATGGGTTTCGAATCCGCAACCTCCGTATAGCAGTCGCGTGTGCTAACCACAATACCATCCAAGGCGATGTTTGATATAGAACACTGCTTTGTTCGGATGCAGTAGCCTCAAACTCAGATTGCAGACGGGGCGGAAATTTCATTTTCATTTTTTAACAAAAGTGGAGGGTTTCCCCCCCACCTCAAAAAAAACTAAATTTTAAATTTATCACTCAGAAAGAAGTTTCAATTTACATTTATTTCCTGTTTGAAGTTTTGTAATTCAAACCTATTTATATTTATAGCTAAATATTAATTTTTTTGACTGGCACATTACATAATCATGACACTGAATTAATCAATAAACAATGCTCATCGGTCAATTATGTAAATGTATCTTCAAGTCTAAGGTTATATTTTGATGCTAATAAAAATAATATAAAATTTGGACTTAAAATTATTAAAATCTTAAACCTTTCTTCTAATTCTTGCCATGAAAATTAATAATAATAATTAATTTACGGGAAATTACCAGTAATTTTGATCTACCTAAGATGATGAGACCACTGAATATAGTCGGCATGCATCACTCATGAAGTGGTATATTAAAAGAACGCAGCTAATCAGTTATCAAATTTATTGTTTTCTTTTCTTAGTATTTAAACTCTCTTATCTGTGCAGTAAAACTCAACTTCACCAACAAGAGCGCTGCAGAAAATTTTACTAATATTACCATAGCACTGAATTAATTCCGCCAACCATCCAGGTCTCATTTACTTTTCATATTTTTACTGACACTTCTAACTAATTATGTGCATTTTAAAATGTGCCGCAACAATTAAGAATGTTTATCAGAAGAATCTGTCTATCCTGTCTGGGGCACAGAAGTTATACACAAACAACCAAGCTTACGCCTGCATAAAAGCAGCCCTTCTCGATAACCCTGGGTTAAGTTCTAGGGAGTGTTGATAAAAGTGACCGAGCCTTCCCCCCCTCCCAAGTTAGAAACTGATTTTCCTGGAGCACTCTTATGAAGGCTGATCTTTATGAAAATGCCGAAGCCATTATGGAAGAGTCACATCATTAGATACAATTATTTGTTTTTTACAAAATATGCATTAATATCATTACTGAGAAAAAATACCATATTTGCAAAAAATAACAAAATCTTTTTATGAAGGTTAATCTTTCTGAAAATTGGAATTGAATGGCAGCGTCTCATCATTATGTAAAATTTTTATTTATTTTTTACGAAATGTGTATTAATGTCATTACTTAGAAAAAAATACCGTGTTTACAGAAAATGTTTATGACTTCTTATTATTTTTTTTTCTTTATTATATAAAAATCCCCTCCTTTCTCTTCTAACACATTATTTATTAGCTGTACCTAAATCTACAGATTAAGAAATTCGTCTCTGAGTTGTTGCGCCTACCAGTTTCCCTAGGAAAGTCCTTCACAAAGTTATCCCTTCTCTTAGGCAGTGTCCTTGTGTGTTTTGCCGTACTTAGCTCGTGCGTCATTATTCGTGACAGCTTACCTTAATAATAATTTTAAAAAAAAAACTTTTGATCCCGTTATGTACAATTCGAAATTTGTTTTCTGAGAAGGCCTCCACGCCAGTGGCCAGCTGATTAGTACTGTTGATTCATGTTAATTTAAATTCGGGAGGCCTGCTGTAGAGGTGGGTTTTTTTTCCCCCTCCCAAGTCTAATATGGATATGAGCTAGTTTCTCTTAGAAAGTCCTCCACAAAAGCATCGTTTTTCTTATGCAGTGCCTTTATATGTGTTTTGTCATGTTCAAATAGTATAACCTAACTCTTAGGTTCTTAAGTAGATAGCTTACGTACACTTTTCCGCGTTCAGACAACCTAACCTTTTCAAAAATGGGAGGGAGGAAGGAAACATAAAGCTATTATAGTATGCGTAAAAAAAATTTAAAAAAAAAAAAATTTAAAAAAAAGACTTTTATTTATTTTTGTGCTTATATTATTTATTTGAATTTTTAGGTTAGCAGCCAGGGTCAGATTTTTCAAGCAGGGTCCTCTGGAAAGCTGGACCTCTAAAGTAAGGAATGCTAGACCTTCAAAAATGCAATAGAAGTGTAGAGTTTCCCACTTGTAAATGCTACGTTACAGTTGAACGTCAAGAATCTTAAGAACTGATAAGCGAGTAATCGCTTGGGTTCGTGTGACAAGAAACAACAAGCTGGAAGGGTAAATAGCCCTTTATTATTCAAATAAGATTTAACAGAACTCCGTCTTGGAGTGTACAATGAAAGCCGACACTTGGGCTTGAACTTAAGAGGCTAAGAAGTAAACTAATCTAAACTAAAGAGATATAGCCGAAGCTATCAAGATTCTAACCGAGTTGGCCCCTTAACGCTAATTGACTGCGAAGCTATCGAGGGCCTAAGTACGGCCCAGCGTACGAGAGGGTAGCCTAAAAAAAAAAAAGGGCGGACGCGTACAGACAGAATACCTGGTAACCCGAAATACCCTTATATGCGGTCAGGTCGTAAATTTAGAACCCCTTTTTTCACAGGGGGGCTGAAAAGTAGGGAGGAATCTTGCTCGGGGTCTTGGGGGTCGTTTAAACATCTAACTTCTCTACATTCAGTTTTATACAGAGGAAAATACAAATTGAATTCTTCGAATGAATGCAATTTTGTACAATGAAAATGTATTACTTAATGATAACTGTAAGAGATAAATAACATCTTTTTTTAAAGCCATAGGTGTAGAAAGACAGATATTTGTTACACGAATGAATTTGTAGTAAATATTGAGTTTTTCATTTCGAATGCTATGTTCCATGTATGCGAAGTAGCTCAGTATGTGAGATAATAGTCATAACCGAATGGCTTTCAACCTTTTCACGGCTAAGGACTGTTTCTCAATTACATTGTGGTCGCTGCTTTTTGGTTAATTTTCTAATAACATATAAACAATAGTTGTTTTTATTTGAGACTTAGAATAAAATAACGCAAACTATAATGCAGAAAATTCTTAAGAAGGAAGTTAAATAATACAGAAAGAATACATTATTGATGCACTTTTGTGTTTTATATGTAGTAGTATTAACTACTACTAATAATCCTTAAATTATATATATCTACGTATAGATATATATAAATGTAACAAAATATAGAACAAGGTATAAAATATCAAGGAAAAATATCTTTAATATACAATGTTCGTTACCATACGTATATTTATGCAATATCAATATAAATGGTTAGTTAGGTTTCATACATGTATAATTCATTTTGTATTTTTTGTATTATATTCAGTATTGTATACTCATCATCTGAAGTCATGATTAAGCAGTTTTGTTCTCCTTTTGGGTAATTTGACTTGTTCTCCTTTTGGGTTACGACTTTAAGTGAGAAAGAATTGTTAGGGCCTTCATAGGGATTACATTATATACAATCAGTTAGGATCCTACTTTTCCTTTCTTTTAATCATTATATATATTGAAATATTACTTGATAAGTATACGTAAAATATAGCAGTTTTTAAGCTACTTATATCTATTGTTTGGTCTGGTTTTTTTGATTTTACAGCTCAGCCGCTAGTGAGCTACACACACACACATCCACACATATACATTAAATAGTATTTACATGTCGTTTATAAAGTATAATTGAGTGCAATTTAATCATAAAGAGAAAATATTCTACGGAATTACTTCACTTCGTAGACTTTCTGCCTAGGTTCCCCCATATTTCTTAAAGAGAATCTCAATGCTAGTTCCATTTCCAAGCTGTTTATGTACCCTTATTTTTCATGCTTTTTATATTTAGAAAATTATTTCACTTGGTTATAGCTGAAAATGCAGTTTTTTTTATTGAAGAATTTAAGGGTAAGAAGAGAGTTATGCCCTTTTCTAATTATTCTTGAAACATTTAAATTTTTTAAAAAAAAGCGCACATTAATACGGATCACTGAACTAAAGTGCTCGATACAGGACAGATTAATTAGCTACTAAATTTGGATTTTCATTGAGTAGAAATGAATTTATCTGCATTCTATAAGAAAGTAAATATTCAAAAAATGTTTTTTTTTTTTTCCTATTCTCGCAGTCATAATATTTTTCTTAAATATTCAGCTAATTCATATTCAAATATTCCAATCCATTAGAATTAATAATAAATCGATACAGTAATAAATATTAAAATCAATTAAATGGAATTTTAATTTATTTTAATTGCCATTTTCCCTCTGATAAACCCCTCTTTAGAGTTTAATAGCAGTCGATCAGCTTTTTGTTGGGGGTTCATTTTTCTTTATGGTATGCTTACGTTATATATGTATGTATTATGCATTGGTCATACTCGTCAATTGCAGCTTTTAATATCTTTTTGAAAAAAAAAAATCAATATGAGAATCCAGAAAATGATTCTTAGTGATGCTAAAACTATTATTACTAGGCACTGTCATGCCACAGTGTTTTTAAAAAAATCCCATTGTTTAAAGGTAGATTCTATGCTCATATCCTAGTCTAAAATTAAAAGCTGCGGAGTCAAAATTAAGGGGATTGCTCTTAGAAAGCCTCAATTAAAAGTAGTTATATGAAATGTTAATCAATACTTATAATCTTACGGATTAAAACACTTATTCCCTATTTGATCACGTGTATGGCAAACAGATATTCGTCATTCATAAAGAAAAGAAAGGTGAATCAAAATTAGTTTTCAAGCCCTATCGCATACATTAGCAATACTCATTCTCGTAATAACAGATACGTATGTGTTATTCTCTTCGTAATTTTCAGTACATATATTTATATTTATAATTAAGAAATGAAAGCAGCGTCAAACAGCTGAAAATTATATTTTAAAATTTTATTTAGAAATGCGCTTATAATGGTTTTTATATTTACGAAAGATACTTCCCGTTTACTTCAGGCTCACTGTATTCAAGTCGATAGGACCAATTGAATGGACAGATCGATTTTGTTAATTCATTTCAAAGTTTCAAATCGGATAAATGGACTCGCGAATAAAATGGCACATTAAAATACGGTCACTGAACTACAGTGAGCTATGAAAATTTTAACAAAGGTTTCGTACTTTATCTTATGAAAACAAAATATCAGAATTTTATAATGTTTCACTTATTAGAAAATAGAAAATATAAATATTTGTGAATAAAAAGAAATTATCTTTAAAAAATAAAATTTAAATGAAAAAAATAAAAGAATTACAAAATATTGCAGAAATTACATAAATAGCGAATAAACTTATTCGCCCAAGCTCGCTAAATGTAAAACAGATTGTACAGTCAGAGAGCTCGCCCTTGTCACAGAAATATCATCATCAGGTTCATCGGGGTTTAAAGTTTATTCAGACTTAATGTGCGAAGTTCAGTGAGTAACATTGTATTTTCCTTTGAATGTAATAAACTAGCCAAAAAACACTTTTTAAAAAAAAAAATAATCTCCCCTTATGATCCCTGACACAGCCGTTTACTTTCCCCTTCCGTAATTAACGTCAGTCTCCTGCTCTTGACCGCATTTGCCACGCCACCGGTAACCCTCTCGCCAAGACCGAAGAACTTAATAATTTAATACCGCTCCTCATTATGTATTCAGACGTGATTCTAAACTACGTTCTGGCCGGAAGTAGTAAGTTGAAGTTAAGAATTTGACTGGAAAGAAGTTGAACTCGAAATTTAACTGATAATAAAATTAACCGTTTGAGTCCGGCGAAGCGCTATCGCGCTTCACTTGTCCCGTATGCCAAAAATACGGCGCAGCGCGATAGCGCTTCTTTTGTATCGAGGGAAATGCGAAGACGCTGCTGTTGGTTAGTATACTTTACGCAATTATTGAGAGCAGTTGAAGTGATATCAGTAGCAGTTGTTTTATAGGAATTGAAAATTGTTTTCATTTTTTTACCAAGTGTTATACTGATCATTACGAAGTAGCTCATGTCAAGTTCTGATTCATTTGAAAGTGACAATGATTTTTTTTTTTTTTTTTTTTTTTTCAAGTATACTAACTAACAGCAGCGTCTTCGCATTCTCGATACAAAACATAAAAAGCGCTATCCAGCTGCGCCGTATTTTTGGCATACGACAAGTGAAGCGCGCGCCGGACTCAAACGGTTAACATTATCCTTACAGAAGGAAAGCCTGCATTTTCGAACACAGTCTCCCTAAGGGTTTTAAAAAAATTGCCATATTGATGGCTTTTCATCAGTAAACACTGTAATAATGCTTCTCAGAGCTTAATTTCTGATATTAGAAGTGTCGGAGCCCTAACAAAGTTAAGTAAATAAAATTGTAACCAGTGAATGATTAAAATCTAAAAAATGAAAAGGTAAAAAGAAATATTAGAAAATAAGTTAATAATCGCTGTCAAAATCAAATTACCATAAATAAAAAAATTAAAAATGGGTTATTGAATATAAACAAAACATGATCCCGAGGATTTCTTTTTAAAGGTAAATATTTTGAAAAACAGTTGTAAGTAAAACAAATATCATATGAGGAAGTTTTTAGTAACCAATTAATGTACCAAAGATTTAATTTTTTTTTTTTTTTTTTTTTTTTTTTTTTTTTTTTTTTTTTTTTGTGTGTGTGTGTGTGTGTTGTGTGTGTGTGTGTCAGGCAAAAGTGCTTAATCCGTTTAAAGCCTCGATCACATAACAATACAGGCTATCTTGACCAGATAACCAAAATCTATTGAAGCTATAAGCTATATATACCTTTTTCTGAAACTATACGCATTTCGACGAGAATTTTTGTTCTCGGCTGTTCAAGCTATCATGAAAGTCAAACATGTTTGAGTTCAAATATCAGTTTTTAACTGCTAAATGAAGTGCTACAATAATAGCAGAATATTAGGGTGATATTTAAATGAATTACCGAAGAAAATACCGGAGCTTGCCGTATTTGGGATCCGGAATTCGTTATCCGGCGCACTACGATTGGAATTAGAATTTCACGCAAAAAGTGAAAAACACCAGAGCCTAACTCTGGTGAGTTCCGACTGAATAATAAGTTCTGGTGTTTTTAGTAGCAATTTTATATTTTGTAAATCTGTCTTCTCTAGATTTGTAATGTAATTTAAAATAGCTATATCTGTGTGCTTATGTTGTGATGTTCTGAGCAGCGTACAGTGGAGGAGCGTACACGCTTAGCCTTCAAATTTTGGTTTATTTTTCAGAATTATTATTTTGTTTCTGGTTAGAAAGCTCTGTTTAAAAACT